GTGTGTGTGTGTGTGTGTGTGTGTGTGTGTGTGTGTGTGTGCAGATGTCCACAGAGATCAGAAGAGCATGTCTGATCCCCTGAAGCTAGAGTTACAGGAGGTTGTGAGCTGCCCAATGTGGATGCTGGGAACCAAACTCCAGTGTTTTTAACTGCTGAACTGTCTATCCAGTGCCCACCCCACCCCCCAAGAATTTGAAGCCTAACAAATGTGTACTGTCATTCCCTTTATGTAGAAAGCTTTTACACTCTTAGGATTGCAGTTCCCAAGCTGAGACCTGAGCCCTATCTATGAAGAGGGGAGTCTGCTGCCCTGTGTTTTGAATTAGCAAAGACCCAATAAAAACCCTTAGCCAGATGGTAGTCTAAGTATGTAATCCCAACACTGTGTAATCCTAGTAGAAGTAGGATTGCTCTGAGTTCCAGGCCAGCCTGGCTACATGTTACCCTGTCTCAACAAAACAAACAGCTCTAGGGTCTAGAGCATTTTCCTCTTCCAGATTCTCTGTGGACTCTTCCCTGCCCCATCTCACAGCTTCCCTCTCTTCCCAATGCTTGTGTTTGCAGTTGGTATATGATGGGATCCCCAAGGGAGACCTACAGCAGCGGGAACTCCAGCTGAGCGTGCTAAGTGAGCAAGGATTCTGGGAGAATGTGCTTCTTGGGGAAGTTCACATCCGCCTGCGGGAGCTGGACCTGGCCCAAGAAAAGACCGGCTGGTTCTCTTTGGGGTCTCGAAGTCATGGAACTTTGTGAGCTCAGCTCTGGCCCAGACCTCAGGCCAGAGCCCAGAGCTGGGGGAGAGGCCTCTCCTGTCTGCCTGACTCCTCCTTTCCTGGGAAAGGGGCAGGGCCCTTGGACTACCCCACAGTCCAGGTGGACCTGGCCTCAGTGAGAGGGGGATGGAAGAATTGGGTGCTCTTCGTTGTCCCTTCCTCAGCAGACTGCACTTGGGTTGGTTGTACTGAGCAGCCCCTTGGAAGCTGTGAGGTTGCAGCAAAGTTTTAAGTTTACCTTGTGTCAAGGGAGCAATGCCTGCTTTTAGGTATGTGGCACGCGGGCTCTATGAATTAGCAGTTGGGGGAGGAGGGTGGGTGGTATTTTATTTTTATTTTTAAAAAATGAAATATGAAATAGTAATGTTGTCCTAACTGGGACAAGAAGCCTTGTGAGAGGGACATACTCATGTCTCAGAAGGCAGGAAAGGAAGACTATTTGGACTTTGTATGATGAAGGTTCTTATTGGACTTTTCCCTAGGACTTCGTGGGTTTTGTCTTCTAGCTATAGGAAGTATTGGGGAGGGACCCAGTAGGACCTCAGTGAAGCCCTCCCTCTCTAGGGTAGACTGGGGAGGGACAGGGAGAACTGACTGCTAGACTGAGACCCGTGCTGGGCCATCCGATTTTGCCTCCAAAGGAGAGCGATGTGATATCTATGTGTGTAAGGAAGGGCCTTCCATATCCGGGTTCCTCCAAGGACCTGTGTTCAGGGACCCATGTTCTTTAGGGCAGAGTTTTTCCTCTCATCTACCCCTGCTGTTAGGATGTAGCCTGAATACTTTCCTTCTCCCTACCCCGCTGTTCTCTCAGCCCTCTGTGGGCCACCTGGTACCCAAGACTACACTGGGGTGCCCCCATCCTCTCTTGTCTGATGGGACAAAATGTTGTCTCAACCCTTAGATTTGGTTTCACCCAGGGGCCTTGTGGTTGTGAGCCATACCCGTCGGGGCAGGTGCAGTGTGGCTGCCTGCTGCATTGTTCCTGGAGACTTCCTACACCCCTCTACTGCTTTCTTTCCTGCAGCTTCTCTCCTAAACTCTGTTAATGTCGCATTTAAAAAAAAAAACTTCCTTCATTCTGTAGGGCCATAAGATTGTTTAGTGCATAGCCAAAGGAATGCCCAGTCCATAGCAGAGGGGTTTGGAAAGGGTATGGGGAATGATATCTCTGGCTAGGAGGAGGCTGGATTGGGGCCGTGATTATTCCCCTGGAGCTGAAGGGAGAAACCGGCCTATGGCCTTATACTTTTTTTCTTTAATAAACATTCTTTCAACACACTTCTTTACTTATATGGTGCTAGGGATCAAACCCAGGGCCTTACATATGCTAGACAAGCACTCTGCCACTAAGCTGCATCACCAGCCTGCCTCATACTCTTTATTCCTTACCAGATGGATTCAAAATTTACTCAAATTTATCTCCAAAATGTTGTCTTCCTCACAAAAGGGTGGCAGGGAGGGAGGGAGGGAAGGACAGAATTTATATTAACTTTATTTTTTTTTTAGTCTTTTTGAGACAGGGTCTCCCTGTTGCCCCAGCTGTTCTGGAACTCACTATGTAGACCAGGCTGGCCTTGAACTCACAGAGATCCACCTGCCTCTGCCTCCCAAGTACTGGGATTAAAGGCATGCGCCACCACGCCTGGCTATATTAACTTTTTTAACAAGAATAGCATTGTTTGTTTTTTTGGTTTTTTTTTCCTGAGACAGGGTTTCCCTGTAGCCCCTGCTGGCCTAAAACTCACTGTGCAGACCAGGCTGGCCTCAAACTCACAGAGTTCCTCCTGCCTCTGCCTCCCAAGGGCTGGGACTATAGGCAAGTGCCACCATGCCTGGCAAGAACAATTTTTTAAGCAAGAATTAGGTGATGAGAGACGAGTTAACAACACACTGTATACTGTTCCTCTGCAACTCCATTACTGGAGAGAAAAAAGTGCTATTTATTGAAGCTACATGGCCGCATGGAAGTTGGGGTGGAAGTTATTGATGATTTTGAGATACGGTATCATGTAGCTCAGTCTGGCTTCAAACTCCCTGTGTAGACAAGGATGACCTTGAACTTCTGATCCTCTTGCCTTCTACCTTACAAGTGTAAGCCACCATATCCATTTAAAATTTTTTTTATTTTAAATTAAAAATGCCAGACCAGCAAGAAGTCTCAGTGAGTGAAAGCACTTGCCGCCAAGGCTGACAACTTGAGAGACCCACATGGTGGAAGGAGTAAACGGACTCTCCCAAGTTGTTCCCTATATAAACAAACAAATGCCAAGGATAAAGCAGGCTGCTAAGGGCAGGGAATGGGAGAGGGGAAAGAGTGGAACCTTCCAGATGTTTGGACCATAGATGTGCTACTGGCTTTTTGCCTGTAGCCCACTTTATTTTGATCCTCTATGCCCTGACTTAAAGAGGTCTATGTACTGTACCCACCTCCCAGACCCCCGTATCTCCTACTTTCTCTGAAATTGTATTTTCTAATAAATGATATTTGAGAAAAACAAAACTACCATTGTTTTTTAAAATATTTTATTTATTATTTTTATTTTATGCGTATGAATGTATTGCCTACAAGTATGTGAGTACACCCGTGTTGTGCAGTGCCATGGAGGTCAGAAGAGGGCTTCGAATTCCCCTGGAACTGAAGCTAAGGATGGTTCGTAGCTGTCATGTGGGTGCTGGGAATCGAACCCGGGTCGTCTGCAAGAGCAGTCAGTGCTCTTAACCCCTGAGCCATCTCTCTAGCCCCAAATATTTTATTATTTAGATTTTATGTATATGTTTGTGTTGCCTGCATGTAGGTAAGTGCACCCATGTCGTGCTGTGCCCACAGAGGACAGAAGAGGCTGTTGGGTCTCCTGGAACTGGAGTTACAGACAGTTGTTAGCTGCCATGTGGGTGCTGGGATTCGAACCCAGGTCTTCTGCAAGAACAGCCAGTGTTCTTTACTGCTGAGCCATCTCTCCAGCCCTTAAAACTACCATTGTTAAAGATTGGTTGATATGTGACTATTTAAAGCATCTGTTGTATGTTTATGTGCCCTGATATATTGCAGCTTTTAGCTAAAGTTTTAGGGCAAAAGCTCTGCTTCTGAAGGCCCAGCAGGCTAGGCTCAGCTACTGTCCCAAACCAATTTAAGAGAAAAGAATTGGAGCAGAGAGCAAGAGCTACACATAATTACACTGCCTTGGTCAAGGCATGATCCGGCCTCTCATGGTCTCAGCTCTGGTCTTACAGTGTACTCCAATAAATTGTTACTCTATTGTCATTGCTTGCCCCTGCTGCCCAGACAGGGTTCCTAGAACATGATCTGCTTCGGAGTGTAGCTTTTCCATCGTAGATAATTATTCTCATTTTGGGGAGCTCCAGGCCAGCCTTGGCTACAAATTCTAAAAGGAAACCAAAACCAAACCAAAACAAAAAACCCAACAAAGGTAGATAGTGAAACTAGAAAGTGCTTGTTTGAGTCATTTTCCATGAGTTTGTAAACTCCTTAAAGAAAGATGAAAACTGTAGATAACAAAAGACAGACTAACATGGTAAAAATTTTGCAGAAAGTTTAGCAATTTACCAAACAGTCTACTTATTTCCATTGCATACAGTGTTTTAGAATAATTATGACTGACAGCATTATGTCAGGATCATCAAGCTGTTCTTTCTTCTCAGAAACATTTACATTTTTGTTTCTTTCAAGGAATGACATGCCAGCAAAGCACTTGCCACACAAACCTGGCAGGCCAAGTTCCATACCCGGAACCCACATAAAGGTTGAAGGAGAGAACCAACTCCACCGGGGGTGTCCTCTGACTTCCACACATGTGCCATGGCATGTGCACCTACATGCATATCACACACACAATAATAATTTTAAATACATATAGAAAAGACCATAATTATCAATAATAGATTACACTTACATACGAATCTGCATTTAATGTTGTCTTTTAAGAATAAACAAAGACCTGGGCATGGCGGTACATGCCTTTAATTCTAGCATTTGGGAGGAAGAGGCAGGTGGATCTCTGTGAGTTCAAGGCCAGCCTGGTCTACATCGTGAGTTCCAGGACAGCTGGGGCTACAGGGAGACCTTGTCGAGAGAGAGAGAGAGAGACAGAGAGAGACAGACAGAGAGAGACAGAGAGAGAGAGAGAGACAGAGACAGAGAGACAGAGAGAGAGAGAGAGAGAGAGAGAGAGAGGAAAGGAAAAAGTATGCTTGTTTACAAATGTATTCCCTAAGTGGCTGATGCTCAGTCTTTTTTCTAATTATTGTAGTAGTACTGTTTGAAGTGCAGTCTTATGGTATATCTGCCTTTTTGCTTAAGAAGATAGAATTAGAAGCACAAAGCTAAAAAAGGTTAGTACCACCAAAAATTCTAGTTTTGGAGGACACCAACTTGGTAAAATGTTATGAGCTTTGCAAAAAAGATTATTTTTATGTGTATTTCTATGTGCCCACATGCATGCAAGAGCCTTCAGAGGCCAGAGGAGGTCATTGGATACCCTGGAGCTGGAGTTACAGGTGGTCGTGAACCACCTGACATGGGTACTGGGAACTGAACCTAGGTTCTCTGAAGGAATAGTAAGTGCTTTTAACTGCTGAGCCATCTCTTTGGCCCCTCAGCTTCTACTTTTTTAAAAATTGTATGTATGGCCAGGTGTGGTGGCTCACGCCTTTAATCCCAGCACTTGGGAGGCAGAGGCAGGCGGCTTTTTGTGAGTTCGAGGCCAGCCTGGTCTACATAGTGAGTTCCAGGATAGCTGGGGCTACAGGGAGAGACCCTGTCTCAAAAAGAAAAAAAAAATTGTATGTATGTATGTATGTATATTTTATTTTCATTATTATTGTGGCGGGGGTTGGTCTTTTTGAGATACAGTCTCCCTATAGTCCCAGTGGCCTGGAACTCACTATGTAGACCAGGCTGGACTTACAGAAAGGCCTGTTTCTGCTTCCCAAGTACTGGGATTAAAGGCATTCAACACCACGCCTGCCTATTTTTTATTTATTGTTTTTTTTTTTAATTTTTATTTTATGTGCTTGAGTGTATTGTATTGCCTGCATGTATTTAAGTGCATCTGTGTCATGTAGCACTCTCCAGAGGTCAGAAGAGGGCACTGAATCCCCTGGAACTAGAGTTACAGACAGTTGTTAACTGACATGTGGGTGCTAGGAACTGAACCCAGGTCCTCTGCAAGAGCAATCAGTGCCCTTATCCACTGAGCCATCTCTCCAGCCCCCTTTTTTTGTTTTGTTTTGTTTGTTTGTTTGAGACAGGGTCTCCCTATAGCCCCAGCTGGCCTAGAACTCACTGTGTAAATCAGGCTGGCTTCAACCTCACAGAGATCTGCCTAGCTTGGCCTCCTGAATGCTGGGATTAAAAGTGTGCACCACCATGCTGGCTATTTGTTTTTACATGAGTGTTTTAAGTGTTTCACATGCATGCAATGCCCATGGAGGCCAGAAGGGGATGACAGATCCCTTGGAACTAACTTAAGGACAGTTAGCCACCACAACGTGGGTACTGGAACAGAATCATGGTCCTCTGAACGAGCAGTCAGTGCTTTTAACCGCTGAGCCATTTCTCCAGCCCTTAGCGTCTACTTTTGAAGTCTGAAATGTAGTGTCTTTGACGCCTTAGGATAATAGGTCTACATTACTAACAAAAAATTAAAACTTAAGACCTCTTACAAATTTAGAGGCCAATGCTATTGACCACAAATTGACTTATTTTCTGGTATGCCATTGCATTTCATACATAAAATAGTAAAATGCTTTTTAAAAAATTATTTATGCTGGGCATGGTGGCACACACCTTTAATCCTAGCACTCAGGAGGCAGAGGCAGGTGTGAGTTTGAGGCCAGTCTGGTCTACATAGCAAGTTCCAGGTCAGTTGGAGTTACAGGGAGACCCTGTCTCAAAAAGACCAAAAAAGCAAAACAGGGGCTGGAGAGATGGCTCAGCAGTTAAGAACACTGACTGCTCTTGTAGAGGATCCAGGTTCGATTCCCAGCACCCACATGGCAGCTACGAACCATCCTTAACTCCAGTTCCAGGGGAATCT